AGGGATGGCTCATTGGTTAAGAGCACTTGCTGCAAAATCATAAAGATCAGAGTTCAAATCCCAGCATCCAAGTAGTGGTCCAGGCATCTGCACACATGCCTGTGACCCTGGCTCAGAGTACAGGCAGAGACAGGATTGCTGGGGTCTTCTGGCTTCTAGCGTACTGGAGGAAAATGTGAGCTGGGTTCAGGGAGAGAGGCTGCCTCAAAAAGCAGTAGGCAGAGGATGGATACTGACATTCACCTGGACTGTTCACACACCAGCATAAACACATGTACTAGTACACATAGACACATCCACAAAGGTCTTTTTAAAAAAAAAAAAAAAAAAAGTGTACAACTAACCATAGTGTCTAGCTTAGTGCATATCTACTGTGTGCATATTACCTGTGCCTTATGGAGCAGATACTAACCGTTAATTTTCAGTTTAGATCAGTGGAGTAGTTTTGCTTCTCAATAAAAAACAACCAAGAGGGCTAGAGAGAGATAGCTCAGCAGGAAAGAACACTGGCTGCTCTTGCAGAGGACCCGGGTTTAATTCCCAGCACCATCATAGCAGTTGATAGCTGACTGTAACCCTAGTTCTAAGAGGACTAACACTCTCATCTGGCCTCTGCAGACACCAGTCATGCACACATGCACGCAGGCAAAAACAGCCATTCACATAAAATCAAAATAAATAAAAAATGAAAAACACAACTGGAGGCTGTGACTTAGGGGTAGAACACTAGTATATCACATTGGACACAGCATCACAGACGCCAGTCCCAGCTCTGCCAAGGGCTACATAGTGAGACTTAAAAAGAGAGAAAGAGAGAGGCTGAGTGGAATGTTGGAGTGCACCAGCCTCCTCTGTGAGTAGTGTTTATACTGTATAATACTGTTTTGTAACAACTTTTTAAAATTACACCTAAGTACAGCTGGTAGCCTGTTTACTAACCCAAGCTATTGCCTGCCAATTACAGTGTAGACTAAGCTTATTCTAACCATTATCTTGGGTTAATACACCCTCTTGGCTTTTAAGTGCTCTCAGAAATCACAGATCAGGGCCCCAGACTTAGCCACTGCTTCTGGCCCTTTGTTCAGTGTTTTTTTCAGAATCTGGTCTGTGGACCTTTGGGCTTCCATTCCCTCCCACTCTGAGCCTCCCTGCTGAGCTCTGGGGATCTGTTTATGTCCATGCACCTACTTGTACTAACAGCCGTAGAGCTGTTCTTTATAGGAGAAACAGGCTGTCTGCTTATCTCTTCAAACAACAAGGCATTTATCTCTCAACAAGTTGAGTTTGGCCACCAGAGATGCAAAGCTGCTAGCAGTATCGGTGTGCTTGCTAAGTGCGAGTTTTGATAAGTCAGCTTGTGACCCAAGCTAGCTCCTTCAGTGGTTTTTGAAGTTCCCAGGCAAGCATGAAACAGACCACCTTCTGAAGCAAACATAGGTGTGAGGAAAGAATTAGCTAGAAGAGCAGAAGGCTTCTTTTCCAGTGTGGAGGCATTCCTCCGAGTTAGTCATTATTTTGTGTTACAATGAAAGAAAGACTGCTGTGCTTAGAGCATAGTTTCTCTCCATACATGAAGAACAGCCTGGCTTCAGACATGAGCCACATATGAAAGGTCATGCTGCTTCATGAGAGGGTCCAGTCAAGAGAAAGGAAGTTGGACCGTCCCCAGGTGTCCCTTGGCAAGGGACATTTGGTTGCTCAAAGAAGGCAAGTTCAGAAGGGCTCGCTGAGAGCTAAAGCAAATTTTTTTGTGAAGGTTTTGAACAGACCAAGGCAAAAGTATGAGCCATGTTTACGGATCTTGAGTTCTGACAAACGGTGGCACACACCTGTAGTCCCAGCACTTGAGAAGTGGATGGAAAAGATGAGGGGTTCAGGGTCAGCCTGTGCCGTGTGAGACCTTGTCTGTGGCAGGAAGGGAGAGAGAAAAAAAATTCGTTGTTAGCCCACAAGAACTTCAAGTCCATGAGACATCAGCTTGGCCTCCTAGAACGGCATGGCTAGTGGTCATTCCTTGAGTAAATCAGTTAATCTTTCCCTGTATTGAACATTGGGTAAGTTGTCTAACAAGATTGATCACCTCACCGACTTTATAAATAAAGCATATGATCTATTTTTCCACCATTGTCTTTCAGCAATATTGTTTTCTTTATTTCCAACCCCAGATAGATAGCTCTTCAGTGTGTATGGGGGTGGGGGAGGGAATGGACAATGGAACTATGAAGCCCAAAGAGGCTGGTGATAGGACTTGTTGTGGTGGCACAGTACCTCGCTGACCTGCTCAGCTGTGTAGGTGATAAGGTGCCTCCCCATGAGGACACTCATCAGAAGAGGCCCCTAAGTCAGAGAGAGTGCTTGATGGCTCATAGTATAAAAGCTCTAGTCATGACCTGGGGTGGTGGTGCATGCTCTCATCTCAGCACTTAAGAAGGTGACGCCCGAGGGCTGAAAGGCTCCTGGGCTGCACGGTGAGACTGTCTCAGATAAAGATAGTGATTTGGCTCCTGTGATAACCAAGTCCTTAAAAAGCCAAGAACCCAGGAAGAGACAGGGAACTGATGTCATCACCTGGCATGGTGTCTCCCGTTATTTTTTGTTTGTTTGTTTGTTTTGTTTTGTTTGCCATTTATTTAAACTTTGGTTTTAGTAGACTCACTAGTAACATTAATATTAGAAATATCTATGCTAAAAATGTATGGATAATGTCATTTTTTTGTGACTGAATGTGACTTCCTGGGCCATATCTGACTTAGCCTAAAAATTTAACTCCTCTATAAGACTTCCTGTCTCTACCAATACTTCCTGTAGTGATGTCCCCTTTAATATTCCTAGTGTAGGTATCTTGGTGGGGCACAGAGTTCCCCCTCGCTGAGGCCTTATGGAATACCTGCTTCTCTTTCAAGTTCTTGACCTTTTTCTTCTCATATGGATAACCCTTTACTATGTAGCCCAGGGCGGTCCTCCTGCCTCAGGTCCTGTAGTGCTGGGATTGCATACGGAGCCCGTCCTTCATTCTGCTGACCCGCCACTGTGACAACAGTTTTGGAAAGAATTATCTGAGTCTCGAAGTACTCATTTCATGTGCTTTTGTAGAGTTATGAATATGCAGCTTATGGACCTCTTACAACATTTAAAAAAAGGTTATGTCTTTATGAAATCCAAGGACCTTAGGTTTTTACTGCTTTACTGAGTGAGTGGAAAATTTAGTTGGGAGTTCCTTGTGCTTATTTTTAAAATGAGAGGTTGTAGATGGAGTCTAGGAGGCCTGTCTCTTCCTGGACTATTACCTACTCTGAGCAGCGTGTGTTTTTGTGTTGTTACAGCATTAACTTCCTAACATGATTTTTTTTTTTTTCCCTTGAGACAGGATTTCACTGTATAGCTCAGGCTGACCTGGAACTCACAGATATTTATGTGTAGATCAGACTGGCTTCGAACTCACCCACATCCTGCCAGGATCCAGTCTTTTTCTCTCTTGTCAAAGGTGGCTTTATTCCCAGACCCAAAACACTTCCTTCCTTTGTGTGGTGTTTGCAGGCTCAAGTCTATCTTTATTGACTGAGTTAATATTCCGTCAAAACATGGAGTTCCCATTTGGATGACTATGGGTGTCCCCGAACCTGCTTCTGTAGAAACCCACTTTTAGACAGCTCTGGTTTCCCCTTTTTATCAGCTTTCAATTTTTCCTAGGAATGTGTACCTTGTTCTGATACTAAAGTGGGTACTTCACTGAGAAACTAATTATGTTCTCTGGTGTCTTATCTATTTTTTTTTTCCTAGTGTAGTTCTAGGGGTGGACCTTGGGATCCATGAATGTTAGGCAGACTCCCTGTCACTGATTTCTTTTGGTGGGGGAGGGAGCAGGATTTCTCTGTGTATCCCCTGAACTTCTTATGTAGACTGGGCTGGCCTTGAACTCGGAGATCTGCCTGCCTCTGCCTCTCAAGTGCTGGGATTAAAGGCATGCGTCACCACCACCTGGCTACTGATTTCTTTTTAAAATCATTATTACGTTTAGTTTGTGTGCATGCGTAAGGCAGGAGACAGTTTGTGCTTTCGTCATGTGGATTCTGGGGATCGAACTCAAGGTTGTCAGGCTTGGCAGCAAGTGCCATTGTGACCAAACCATGCCACTGGTTCCTCTCGTGTTTCTTTGGAGAGCTTCGGTGTGCTGTTCGGATTCTTTTTGAAATAGGCATGTGTATGGCTGGGCCGGGATGTTTGTAATTCTTGCAAGTCTGAGTATCCAGTTCTGTGAAGTTATTCTGTATTGACTGCTGGTTCTGTTTTGTTCTGTTGGTCAACAATCAAGAGTCTCCTGGGAAGAGGAAATCTTAATTGAGGAATTACCTCCATCAGGTTGCCTGTAGGGAAATCTGTGGGGTAAATTATTGATAAATGATTGCTGCGGAAAGGCCCAGCCCACTGCAGGCAGGACGAGCCTGAGCAGAGGGTCCTGGGTTGTACAAAAAAGCAGACTTAGGACTTGGGAGGCAGAGGCAGGCAGATCTCTGTGAGTTCAAAGCTAGCTTGGTCTACAGAGCTAATTCCAGGAAAGCTAGGGCTTTACACAGAGAAACCCTGTCTTGAAACAAACAAACAAACAAAAAAGAAAAGAAAAGAAAAGAAAAGAAAGGAAGAAAGGAAAGGACAAAAAGAAAGAAAGCAGACTTAGTGGACCATATTGAGCAAGCCAGTGAGCAATGTTGCTGCTTTTGCCTCTGCTCCTTGAGCTTCTGCCTTGACTTCTCACAGTTGATGGACTGTGACCAACTGTGTGAGCCAAATAAACTTTTTTTCAGCAACAGAAACCTCACTAGGATGTTGACTAAAGTGATGCTTCCTTCATGGTTTTTAACACCAGATTGAGAGTTCCTGAAACCAGGGAGCTTCCAGATGGGTGAGAATGTGTGAGGTGGGTTTGCTCCTGGGAACTCATGTATGATGTTGTCAGCACTGTGGACCCTAGGATGATTTCTGGTTTCTTTGTCCCCATGCAGCTTCCATAAGGCAGTCTCAAGAGGAACCTGCAGATATCCGCCCCGAGATATGGATTGCACAGGAGCTTCGGAGGATTGGAGATGAGTTCAACGAATCTTACAGAAGGAGGGTAAGGACCCCTTCCCATCCCCATAAAAAGGAGACTGACAAGTTGTGGGCTACTTCATCTCTCCTCTTATTTCTACTCCTGCATCTGAGTTCTTGCCTTTAATTAAGATACAGGGTGAAGTTGCTAGTGGTGTTGTATGTGGGAGACACCTCAATGTATCACTTCTTAAATCTTTTAAAAGGTTATTTAGATGCGTTCTGAAATAGTCTCATGTTAAGTATGGAGCACGTAGCTTTCAATTCATGGGAGGTGCATCTCCATGTAGGTAAAGCTGTTAAAGTCTACACTATCATTCAGCCAGGACTGCAGAAAGGGGGTGCTGAGGGCAATTCACGTTTGGCTGTTGAAATGTATGAGGAGATCAGTAATAAGTAGTTTATGATGTGAACCTAGTAAAGGTTCAATAAGGATAGCTGGCTGCTCTGTAGATTTCTCAAGTGTGTTCTTGATTTTAATAAGTATCAGGTTAGTTCTTCATCTTCTTTAGCAGCAGTGTGTTTAAAAATAGTTTTGATGCTTTCCTGACGGAATGAAGACATATGTCTGTTTGGTACCTCCCTTCCCCATGGAATCAACTTTTGAGGATGTAGGCTTTGAGTCTGGGGTGCAGGACGACTGTGAGTGGAGTGGCCAGTTACTTAACGAAGTGTCCTGAGGTAATGTGGACTCTGCTCTCTGGAGAGATGCCAGGCATACTACCCTGTCTTTGCATAGACATTTCCTATTTTAGCCAGTTGGTCCAAAGTAAATGAGTGTTCACCATGAACTGTTTGGGGGTCTTTCTTACGCCTGCAGGCCGCTCAGGCCTCCTTCAGACACACACGGAAACCACCACTGCACCTACCCTAACCCTTCCCACCCCTCTTAGGAGTCGTCTTTCTTCTGAGTGGCAGATCTATCAGGAGTCCTGGACTTTGAGAACAATTTCAGTTCCCCTTCCTGCTTTTCCACGGGGGAAGTGTGTGTGTGTGCTACAGACGTGCTTCTGTCATGGGAACTGTCACGTTGATGAATGGACTGAGGAATTTTTCACGATGTTGTGTTTAGCTGACACAAGCCTGGCATCAGCCACCTGGCATGGATCACTTCACAGAATTTAAATTCCTTAGCCTAGATCCAAAATGTCAATCTCTTGGGAAGATTGGTTGATTTCTTAATTTACCACTGAAGTTATATCCACTCATCCCCCTGCCTCAGATCTTTTATTGAGATCTCAGTGTTTCTGTGGTGACTGAGCCTATTGACTGTGTGCGGCTGTGGTGTTCAGGAGCCTGGTCCTTCTGTTAAAGGCAGGGAAAGGGGACATAGGACTGTTCAAGAAAGTGGGGGACTACATTTGAGTCTTGGACTGGAGTTGGGTCCAGAGTCCAGGAGGACAGGCTGTCTTAGTTAGGGTTTTGTTTCTGTGAAGATACACCATGGCCATGGCAATTCTTACAAATGAAAACATTTAATTGAGGGCTCACTTCCAGTTCCAGAGGTTCAGTCCATTGTCATCATGGTGGAGAGCATGGAGGTGTGCAGACAGATGTGGTGCTGGAGCCGAGAGTCCTACTATCTTGGCTCAGAGGCAACAGGAAGTCAAGTGTCACATGTAGGGAAGCTTGAACAAAAGAAATTTCAAAGCCCGTGCCTACCATGACACACTTCCTTCAACAAGGCCACACCTCCTAATAGTGCCATTCCCCTTGGGGGACCATTTTGCTTCAGACCAACACACATGCCATTTCTGATGAACTAGAGACACCTGAGTCTACATAGGAACTGGCTATGATGTCACATCTATCTTCAAACACTGCAGATGCCTTCAGGGCTGGATCTGGTGGGTGGGGATGCCTCAGGAGGGACTCGGCTTGTGGGCAGGTCTTTGTACTGCTGGGACTTGTACACTGAGATGAGTTGGCACAACACTCTACTCTTGGTTGTATCAAAGACTTTGTCTGCAGAACCAGGCGTCTGATGGATTATTTTGTACAACTTTCATGTTAAACCATAAGGTTTGGACTAGGAGGCCCTCTGAGATGGGCCTGCTTGATGCAGCTCCCAGGGGACTGTAAGTGGTTAAGGATGGACAAAGTGAAGGATAGCTAGTGAGATTATAGTCACATCCTGTGGCTGGCCCCCCAGGGATGGTATCCCCGTGCTGATGACATACGGACTGTCACGGATTCTTCATTCACCCAGTTGGCTTTGTAGAGGATGAGATGTGTGTGTTCTGCCTCCTGCTTTCCTGATGTTAGTTTATAGTTTCATGTGTATGCATTTTGTGATGGTTACATTTTTTTAATGAGATGTGACATTGTTATTTCCCATCCTCTTAATGCAATAAATGTAAATAAATGTCATTGCACTATTTTGCAAGATTTTAGACTTTATTTTGTATATCTTTTTTCCTCTGTGTGTGTGTGCGTGCACATGTGGGCGCGCACACGTGTGCACATGCATGTGCGCGCACACCTTATGGCCCACTGTGCATATGTAGAGGTCAGAAAACAACTTTTGGGAGCATTTCTCTGCTTCACACTGGCAGGCCTGCCAGCTTCTGGGCAATTCTCATTCCTTTGCCCCCAACTCCCCAGTCCAGAGATTACAGATGCACATACCATCACTTCCAGCGTTTTTATGTGGGTTCTGGGGGTCTAACTTGGACTGTGAAGCTTCTGTGACAAGTGTTTTTACCAGCTGAGCTATCTTGCCAGCCCTTAGCATATCTTAACCCAATGCTGAAGTGTAGCACAGACAAAGGATTCTATAGCTTTTTTAGTTGGCTGGGGAGTAGAGGAGTAGGGGAAGGGATAGATTCTAGCCTAGACCCGAATTCCTCTAAAAATGAAGGCAGATATTCTCCAAATGGTAGGTGTCGGCAGCCAGTTCAAAGTGTCAGACTCCAGCGCAGCAGGATAGTGACACAGTGACCTCAGAAGCTGCAGCCACCAGTCTTGCTGGTTAGAAGAGCAGCCCATTGTCTGTCATCACACGAATGGTCCATTGTTGAACTCTGGGGACAGGAAGCCACGCAGGAAGTGGGAGAATAATGACTTCAGATGACCCGTTGCTGAGCTGGTGTCCATCCTTTGCCTACTTGTGAGGATGCTCCGAGGCCTCTAAAATTTAGCTTTCATACTGGGCAGATATCTTCTTCAAGTGTTAGTCGGCTGTTATTGCCATCAACCTCATCAACCTTACAAAGCCTGGTGGGATAGCTTCCCAAGTTGCCTGTTAGGAGAACAGAGACGCCGTTTTTGTAGTTGTTGTATGTTGAGTACATTTAAGAACAGGGCGGGGAGGGGGGGGACAGCTTGAGCTAGAACTGTGGAGACTGAACCCAGAGAAGAGGGGGTCTCAAGTGAATGCCCAGTCTGTACGCCCCTGACTGCTGGACTCCTAGGGCAACACTCCTGGCATCTATCATTAGTTTGTGCACACAGCCGGCAGCTATCATTAGAACATGTATGCTCTATATCATAGGAATTGGGGCAGCTTTCCACTTTGAAAAATTTCAAGAAACATACAGAGCGCTTTGTTAATATGCCACCTTGGCACACTCAGTATAAGTCTCTTGTCATATGTACTTTCCGTATGTAAGCATGTGATTCCCTTAGCTTGTTCTATTTTAAAAAGTTTATTAATTCTTTGAGACTTTCATAAATGTTCTGATCGTATTTCTTCCCTCCCCCGATATCCTCCCCCATCTCCCTACTCCTCCAATTTCATGTTCTCTTTTGCTTTAATTGTCATTGTTACAGCTATTCATCCATAAGATGGCCAGGGAACGTCACTGGGTGCTGGAGTACAAACCAGAGGACAGGATATTTGCTGGGAGATTGTGTCTTCTAGGACAGGGAAGCTGCCCCATGAAAACTCAATGTGGTCACCCAAACAAGACCTGAGCAAGGACAACCCTGCTTGACATGCCATTGTGGATGGGGACCTCTCATGAGACCCCAACCGTTATTAATACAGCAGCGTGTGCTACCTGGGAGCAAGAACATCAGCCACCTGCACAGCCATGATCAGCAAATGGATAGTGTCCCCATGCTGTCTTGGGATTGTAGACTTAAACATCCCATTTGTCCCAGAATGACAGGTGGGGGTGGACACTGATCCAAGTCCCAGTATAGACCCATGCATTGGATTATTAATGCGCACTTTGGCTCTGTCAACTCCTGTCTTTGGAGAGGTGACACTTGTGGAGGACCCAGGCAGTTTGAGTTTACAGGCTCCCTGTATTTCTCTTACCTGATGCTTCCCCAAGAGTTAGGGTTAATGCTTCTGCAGGAATACTGCAGCGGCAAGTTGTCCTTGGTCCCTTTCACTGGTGGTCCTCTGCTAGTGATAACAGAGAGCCAAGGTGGTATCTTCCACTGTGGAGCTGGTACTTTTCCAAGAGCTTAGGAGGGAGGAGACAAAGCTCACTGGGGAGGGGTTAGGCCTCCTGAAAGCTGTTTCCTGATGAAGTTATACCCAGGTGGTGTACCAACTGTTCTAACCCTCGGTGTCACCCTGCAGTGTGCTACCATTTGGGGGACTCGGGAGGATGGCAGGGGCTTTAGAGGAAGCAGACAGCACAGAAAAGGAAGTCAGTGGGTCCAGAGAGGAGTTAGAGAACCCCATTGTCTGGGGGTCGTGGGGAAAGCGAGCAGTTTGAGTTTAGCTGAGTGCTGCAGAGGTATTGGGTCTTGAAGCCTAAGTTTGAAGTCTTTTCGTTCTCATGAGGGGATGTGACAGTGAGACCACCCACTTCTCACTCATCTCCAGTAACCATCACCACTGCTGTCTACATGCCCTAGCTGCTGCTCCTGAGCCAGCTCATCTTTTGGACGTGACATCGAGTGCAAGTGCTTAAATTAAGCACCTGTGAGCTTATGGGAATTTTGGTCATGGGCTGAGGTTGCTGTGAAAAGCCTGTCAGCCCTTCAGATAGTTCTAAGAGTAACTGAACTCATTCTGCAACCCATCCCGACCTTGAAGCTGGAATCCACGGCCCTTTGAGACTTCTT